TGGTACAATAAATTTTATTGAGTAATAATAACAAGATTAAATGGTGAAGTCCCACGCAGGGGACAGATTCAGAGATAAAAAAAAAACAAAAAACAGGTGATAACAGACAAGCCCATTTTAAAGAGATCCCAAGGCAAGGGAAGCAATAACATCCAGCAACCAGTGCCTGAAGTGGCAGCATACAATCTAAGGCAGGGGTGTCAAACTGCGGCCCTCCAGCTGTTACGGAACTACAAGTCCCATGAGGCATTGCAAGACTGACAGTTACAAGCATGACTCCCAAAGGCAGAGTCATGATGGGACTTGTAGTTCCTCAACAACTGGAGGGCCACAGTTTGACACCTGTGATCTAAGGCTTGACAAAGTGGATGGGTGGGTATAGCAGAGTGTTTTTTTTTTTTTTCCAAGTATCACCAGCAGTCCACATTTTGGTAGTATATGCTTAAGTGGAGTCATTAAAGTGATAATAAAGCTCTTTATTTTTATGCTAAAATATAAAAAAGATGTTATACTGTTCTGTACGATGATATTGCACAGAGCGCTCCATTACCTCCTCTTTGGTGGTCCCCTGTCTGTACTGTCTGCTCCTTCTTTCTCCAGGTTTTTCTATAGCAAGCTGTGCTAAGGGGGCACTCATGTGCGCATGCTCCCGAGCCGGCCTGTGTGCATCCAAGACAAACTCAGCACTGGTAAGTCATGCCCCTGCTCCCTCCTCACAGAAGTTTGACTGAGAGCAGCCATAGCCTATGCCTTCAGCTGCTGTCCGTGTCTCTGTCTGTGAGACCAAGAAGTGAGAGCACTGCAGGTGCTGTAGCAGTGACAGCGCTGGATCGGTGAGAGGACTCAGGTTAGTGTTTAGGGATGGGGGGGGGGGGGCTATAATAGGTGGTGGCATGTTTTTTTTTTTTTTTTATCTTAATGCAGAGAATGCCTTAAGGTAAAAAACCTTTTGAATTTAGAACCATTTTATTTGTCTCAGCAATATGACTTAGCTTTTGGGCACTATCCACAAAACAAGCACTGTTGGTAAGAGGATGGTATGGTGTTATATGGAATCCTAGTGACTTAGAAATCTTCAAACCTGACTGGCAGTAGCATTGTGTTATCACACACACACACACTAATATGCATTGTGTTAGGGCAACCCCTTCATTAAGAATGGGCTGCCAAGGGACAGAGAGCGATCAAAAACAAACCTGCACCTTTTGCTTTATTGCAGTGCACCACAACACACAGCACATTGATACATAGATTAATTGGCACGTACTATATTGTATATACTGAAGGTATTAAGCCGCCCTTACATAAGAAATTGCAAAGAACCTTAACATAGCCATCAACCTAGGATCTGCAAATACTTTGTACTGTAATATATGTTGTGCCTGTACAGCAGAATGTGCTTAGACATCATTCGTAATGATATGAAGGTCACTGGAAAGAACTTCCAAAGGGTTAATTACATGGGGACTCTTGACTGCTGAGAGGACTGATCTAATCAGTGCTGAATCCATGTACATCTGTTCACTATGAGGTCATTCTGCATGCTAATGATTTGTAAAATGAAGCATAATGATGCACTTTATACAAATGAATGTAAACCGTTTCACTCTTTACCTGTTACTCCAGACACAAATCTGTAAAGAACTGAAGTGATTTAACACACTTTGTCTTTTCTTGTATAGCACCATCATTAGAATGGCTTTACAAGTTGGTTGTGTTTCCCTCCTCTCTATACAACAGATGGCAAGACTTTCTTGTCATGGTTAGGCATAAAACATTTTGCCATTAGTCCACTGTATAGACAGTTGGATCATCACTGGCTGCTGAATTCAGTGTTCTTGAACCTACATTTTTGTACTCTACTCTGATAAATTGCACATAAAGATAGTTTGTTTTTTTTTTTTTAAAAGAAAAAACAAAAAGGATATTCATAAACAGGACACTTTCTACTTATCTTTAATCAATACATAATTATAAATGTAAATAGACAGTGCTTATATACCTTTTTCACAGATTTCTGATGCAGGTCACATGATCACTTTTCTTCCTTCAGCACATCACAGACTTGCGTGTGGGCATGACCAACTCAGGGACATTGACAACAGGGTTAGGGATCCAAAGGTAGGAAAGCTGCTGTCGATCAAGAGAGAAGAGATGGGCATTGGGCATGGCTACAATCTGACAAGGGAAGATATAGTGTGCCTGTGACTTTGAAAGAATATAAAAGGGCCTCAAACTGACCATGCTAGCTTCCATTCTTAGTGTGGTAAATTTGCAATCAGGAACTAGGGAAATGGCAGGATCAACTAGATATTACCAAAGGAGCACCATAGGAAATGAATCATCTATAGCCTAAGTGTTCTGCTCACTTGTCAGGGTTTCGTATATGAACAGGGCTTACTCATATGATTTTTTTTTTTTTTAATCTTGTGGGCTTTACACTTGAATTAAAGAGCATGTAAAACCAGAAAGGTGGTATCTTCTTAAATCAGTTTAAAACTAAAGTGTAATCCTACTCTGTTCTAACTAAGATTGGGACATAAACATTGAAGTGGTTACATTGAGAGCAGATTGCCTAGAGTATGCCCTGTCCTCCTTATGGCCCACCAATATTCAGAAAGCACAGAATTTCTCAAGGCCACTGATGACCACTAATGTGTGTCTGCACCTAACAAAGATATCATAAGTAAAAGCTGGCCATACACTGAGCTAGTTTTGGCCAGTTCATCAGGACCCACAGGAGGCCCTTTCTGCACCTTCCTGCCCAACATCCATTTTTAGGATTTTAAGATAGAAGGTTTTCCATATACTGTACATAGTAACATTGAAAGAAATTATCATGCAAGACAGATAGACTAAGGAAGAGAAAAAAAAAGAAACACAGAAGGACCAAATACAGCACTGAGCTTGCAAAATACTAACCATAAATGGATGTGCTACCTGGCGGGATTGTGCAAAAAGTAACATTTTCCAGTTATAAGTAAAAGCAAAATTCTCAACCATAAGCAATAGAAGGGCACATCTCTATCTGGACCACATACATAACATTTACGCATTGGTTAAAGAAGGTGTTATGCTTTTCAAATTCAATGCAGCTATTCAATTCAGAATTTTGCTCACCTACAGTTGGTGGACTAGCAGACCCACCCAACATCCTTTAAAGGAGTACAGTCAAAACCTTTTTGGCTATACTTCTATGGATCACAGGAGTGCAGTTCGTTCTGCACTCCTGTGACCCATTTTCAGCAGACAGTGGGCTAAAGTCCGCTTTTCGCTGACATCACCAAGCCAGTCCAGGCTCTGGAAAAATCCCAACCATATGGTTGAGATCCACCCAGAATCCTGGACCGTCACCTGGCTCAGACTCTCATCAAACCACCAAGAGCCTGAGCCAGCCACCCGCCACCTCCACAGCCAAGCGCTCCAGCCACAGAGCAGAGAGCTGGAGACTGACAGTCACAGCTTTCTGCTCAGAGCGGAGGGGGAGAACTGAGCGATCAGCAGTCTTTGATCACTCAATTCTCACTGCAAAAAGATACAGCATCAGATTGATGTTGCATCTGCCTAGGTGAGTATAACTTTTTTCTTTTTTTTTTTTATGAAGTTTTTTAAACAGTACACTTACACTACTTATCACCAGCAGTAATTTAATCAGTCTTTTTTGTAGAATACAGAGGAAGCTATGGTTATTTGTGATGAGAAAATATCTATTGATAACTTGATGAACTGAAAATCTGTGATGTTTAATAAAAGATCAGTCAGATTTGTGAATTTTGATTTCAGAAATAAAATGTCAGATGCAGGAAGCCAGCTCGTACCCCATAATTCACACCAGCAAATTCACATACAACAGACGCTCTTAATCGTAGCCCAAGGCATTTTTCCCCATCAAATAATTACTCTAATTGGTTCAATCAAACATATTCATGTCACATTTCAGTGCATGTTTTAGATAAAAACAGAATATTGAATCTGTTATCAAACATGTCAATGATTATATTTACATATAAACATGCATTAATATACTGGAAAATTATCATTTTTTATTGTGATGGTATATTTGCAGAATATCATTTTTAGTGTCATGTACTGTAATTCATTCTTAAATATATTCTGCAGAAAATAATTAGATAGAGAAACAACAGCAGGAGTGCGTTATCCCCCAAATACAAAGCCCAATATATCCTAAAACTTAACTTTTATTCATAACTGTCTAAAAGTCATAATGTAGAAAATGAAAGGAAGCCATTAGGATGCCCTGTGTATAACCTTATAGGGCAATGTGATATTAGTGCAAAAATGCAAAATGATGGAACAGATTTACAACTGTCTTCATTATAGGGAGATAACCAGACAACAAGCATGTATTTAGCGACCATTGGCCGATCTGGAGATGTGTATAGGGTAAGGTCAGTATCCTGGCTACATACCACAATCCATAGACATAGATTAATATTGAGAGTTACTGTAATTACTCTAGGGCTCAACTGTCCATCAAGTGCAAATATTTCACAGTAACCTTCCAGCCTGGAAAAAGAATGCACTTCAAGCAATCCACTATGTCCACCAGTCCACAAAAGTCTCCCTTTTCCTCCTACAACTAAACCACACATTACCCCAATTAAAACAAAGCTTCATCAGGGGGTGTACAATGTAAATTTAGATTTATTTATTTTTTTGCCATGTGCTTTTAACCACTTAAATACCAGGAACAGGATACCCCCCTTCCTGCCCAGGCCAATTTTCAGGTTTCAGCGCTCTCACACTTTGAATGACAATTGCGCGGTCATGCAACACTGTACCCAAACTAAATTTTTATCATTTTGCTCACACAACTAGAGCTTTCTTTAATCACGACTGGGGTTTTTATTTTTTGCTAAATTAACAAAAAAAAGACTGCAATTTAAAAAAAAAAAAAACCTTTTTCTTTTTTTCTGTTATAAAAATTTGCAAATAAATAATTATTGTTCTTCATAAATGTAGGCCAAGATGTAGTCTGTTACATTTCTTTGGTGAAAATAACCCAAATCAGTATTTATTATTTAGTCTGTAGGAAAGTTATAGAGTTCACAAACTATGGGATATATCTGAAAATTGATCAATCCTGAAGTACTGAAAGCCAATCTAATTTCTTGAGGCCCAAAAATGTCACAACAGTATAGATATCCCCCAAATTACCCCTTTTTGCAAAGTAGACAGTCTGACGTATTTCATAAGAGGCCATTTTTTGGAAAATGAAGAAATTTAAAAAAATATTTTCACACCATTCACCAGTGCAGTACAGTGTCATCATATAACTGGTGTGGCAGTGATCAGGGACACTGACTAGTGACAGTGCAAAAAAATAAATTAATTTAAAAAAAAACATTTTAACCTCTTGACGCTGGCCGAACGCAAATGTGCTGCCACCCGAGGTCTGGGCCTAGACGCCGAGTGGCCGCACATTTGCGTTCTATTAAAAAAATACATATGTGCTGAGAGCGCGCGCCCTGCGCCCTCCCATCACTCTTGTCCAGTACTCACGGAAAGGTCCCGATCTCCTCTTTTGATCAGGACCTTTCCCAATCATGTGACCGCCGTGACGTTGTGTCACGGCGGTCACATGACTCTAAACTGGGTAATTTATCAGTAAATGATTATGGTAAGGACTAGATCCTGAACAAACAGAATGAAAAATTTACAATAAAAACCCTAAAATTCTTAGTATTGGTATGCAACCTCTGAGAGGTGGCGATCTACCTGAACAACATGAAAGAGATCCAAGATCACCGAGGTTTGGCGCCCTTTTTTTTGTTTGGGTTTTTTTTTTTAGGAAATTACCTAGCAAGGGCTAAAACAAATGTCACTGTAAAAACAAACTTAGCCTAATTTAAAAGTGGACAGTGTCCGTCAGTAGGACAATGGTTGGTGTCAGTAGTGCAGTGTCAGAAGAGCAGTGGACGGCATTAGTCAGTGAGGCAGAGGATCGTGTCATTAGTTTTTTTAATCTTTACAATTTTATTTTTTGGCTTTGGTGAAATATCAGGGGTATAAACAGGCCCATGATATCTCAATTTTGAGCCAGAGAAAGGGAGTGAGTACAGAAATTCCCCACTCTTTTTTTCTGCAACCTCAGCTGCACTGGACAGTGAATGAATGGGAAGTACTCTGTGCTGAGCAGCTTCCTGTTCATTCACAAACTGAAGAATAGTAAAGGCAGTTTACTATGCTTCCTTTCTCAGCAACCGGAGAGGAGGGAAGCTGGCAGCGCAGCAGAGATGGAGAGGGACATGGGGACAACCGGGGCAACAGAAAGAGAGGAGAGGCGGCATTTACTAGAATCAATTGGCTGGGGGACTGCTGTACACAGAATGTACATAGAATGCTTGAAGGTAAAAATCCTTGAGCCTTTACAACCACTTTAAAATTCAGTTGTAGAGTGCAGATAACTTACCTTGTTTATGAAAGACAGGTCCACTTTTTTACTTATTAATTGTCTGCAAATGTCTTTAAGGAAGAAATTGCCAGTCTTAACATCCCTTTCCATCCGTACCCACCACCTTTTAGTAGTCCTGTCTATGTCCTACATTCTGCCACCACGTTATCCTGGTGTGTAGTCTTTATAAATCGCACAATAAATCTAGTCTCCCACGTACACACAACATGGAAATGTAACTATTTTAGTAAATATAAACTGCTAAATACATTTTCTCATCAGCAGTATGTAGCAGTCTTGTGACTTCTATCAGTGTCTGTCTGAGCATTGGGTAAAGCTTGTAGGATGGGTTTTCATTCTGCTCTGACTGTCTTATGAGGCTGCATGACCCCTGACCCTCTATCTGGACAGTGCTGATTGGCTCTGTGCTGATCACATGAACCCTTGCGAAGAAAAAAAAAACTCTCTAGCCATACACACTAAACTGAGCATGTGTAGAGTGACTCCTAGTGCTCTGTGCAATCAACAGATTGATTGGGGACAGTAGAAGGGGAGGATCAGATAAGTCAGGATCAAACAGCCTTTTTAAACAATGTGGAGGATTAACCCCTTAGATTCCACAGTGAGTATAACAAGCAGGCTTTACTGCATATACAAATTGATTTTACTGTTTTGGGTTTAGTAACACTTTAAAGTATTGATACTGGATAGCACCGTGTGTGAGTGACGCCAGTAACATCTGAGAATTTAAAAATGCTTTTAAAAGTTTTTAATAGTGTTTTTGCCAGTAATTTAATTGTGGGCACATTATGGTTGTATTACATATAAGTGCATGGAAACCTTTTGCATTGTATGAGGCAGGATTACAATTATTTATTATTATTATTATGTTCACACTAGTGAACAACTGCTTGTAAATTGTTGCATGCCAGCTCTGTCAATTCATTGATGTGATGTCATATTGTAACAGATTTTTAATAAATACCAAAGTGCCAGTTAGAAGTCCTAGTACACCAAGTACTTGTCTGCCCCCACATTCTGTGTAGGAAATTGTTAGTTACTAAAAAATATATTGGTATGTAGTGTTGTTTGTTTTCTTTCATTGCTACTTAGCTTGATGATGCATTGGGCTTTCTTTCAGAGATCCATGCAGAAAGAGAAGCCCCTATAGCTGTGTAACTGATCTGCCACATGTATGGCTATCTCCAGCTTAACCGTTTAGAGAACAGCAGTTGTGCACCTCCAGTGCTTTGCTGGGTGGAGGAAAGCCCTGCTTAACAGCTGTCATAGCTTGAGGGTGGGCTGGCGTCTGGAACAGAGGCCAGGGAGGGAGGATGATGGAGATTAATTATATATCATCATTCTTTCACTTCCAGCGTGTCCATGGGTTGGTTTTAATGTCCATGATTATTGGATCCTTCATCGGGCAGACGGTAGCTTCCACTACAAACAGTAAAAAAAAAAAAAAAAGTTTCTCCAACTTTTTCTGTTTTGTTTCTATTTATCTCAAAGAGGATTGGACACACTTAGATTTATTCAGGGTTTATTCAGTTATCATAAGGAAGATTTTCATGTTGATTATACAGCATTGTTGTCTTGTGTATTTCTAAAGCCGTACTGGACATTGTATGACCTGCGTCCTCAGTAATCAGGCAGAAAGTATATTCTAGTAAAACAATTCATATGCTCATCTCTCAAGCCGTCAGCAATATGACTTCTGCTCCCCCCTGTCCCAGTGGATCTCTTGTTCAGTGTCAGTTCCCCTTCACTCTATTGTTACTCTATGCTACCCCTCCCTCCCACCCTCATTCATTTCTGACCTATTGTGTCCTTTTCCCTTCTAGATATCTTCTCCCCTTCTGTGCCTACATCTGTTCCCCCCTCCTCACCTTTTCTCTTTGTCCATCCCAAACATTCCCTGCTCTAAACCTTTCAGACGTATTCTTCTCATCCATCAAAGGAGGTTCCTTCCCTCCTAGAACAGGACATTTTTTTGTCTTTGGGAAGCTTTGTTTTGTTTTCTGTTTCTCTTGTGTACTATAGGTATGTTCGAACTAAGCAATGCCTTGCTCAGGGGCTCAGACATCCAGGCTTATTTAATATGACAAGAAGCTGTATGCAAAGTGGTCTAGCCTATTGTAACCAGAGTTCTTCTTTCCCTAACATGACTCCAGAAAAAAAGAACTCTTACTGGTTTGTGGGTTACTGCACTTTGCACATCATGGTTACTCTTTGCCTTGGCTTATTAACATTATGTATGTAAACCCAGAAATTGCATCTAAGTATGTTGCAGCTTAAGCACCCTTACATTATTGGAGTGCTTCGCTTGTTTGCTGTACCGAGCTAATTTATTTTGTTAAATTCTGGGCATTTACCCTGTTCTGATGTGGCAACACTCACCCACTGCGCTACAATGCGTTTGTGGCACTGTCACCCTTGCGTGCAACCACAGGACTTTTTGAAGGCTGCCATTCTGATGGAGAGTGTGCCTGTAAAAAGTCAGGAGAATGACCAGTATCTGTGGCCACAGTACTACCCTTCATTGACAGCACTGTAAGCCAATAGCAGAGAGTAACAGAAGCCATGATTTGCTGCTCGTTCCCAGCACACACAGTCATGACCTTGAACTGAAAGAGCCCTACTGCAGAGAGTCATGTGACTGCTAGAAAAAAAAACTACAAATATTGTTTGGATTTTATTTGTCCGTTGTAAAAGAGGCTGACAAATCTCCTCCTTTATTCCACCATACTCTTGTGTTTTTGTTCTGTTTCCTTTGTGCCTTGTAGTTTGGGGGCTAAAAGAATGCATCCGGACTTCATAGCTGGCCGTATTTGGGAATTGTAACTAGTATCTCATAATTGATAACATATTTTATATATATTGCATTCATAAAGTAATATGACCCCCTTCACTTTTTTCAATTTTGCTATGTTGCAGCCTGATACTACAGTTGTTTAACCACTTGCCTACTGGGCACTTATAACCCCCTTCCTTACCAGGCCAATTTTCAGCTATCAGCGCTGTCGCACTTTGAATGACAATTGCGTGATCATGCAACACTATACCCATATGAAAGTTTTATAATTTTTTTCACACAAATAGAGATTTCTTTTGGTGGTATTTACTCACCGCTGGGTGTTTTATTTTTTGCGCTATAAACAAAAAAAGAGCAAAAAATGAAAAAAAAAATTTCTTTGTTTCTATTATACAATTTTGCAAACAGGTAATTTATCTCTTTCATTGATGTGCGTTGATGAGGCTGCACTGATAGGCAGCACTGATGAGGTGGCATGGATAGGTGGCATTGATAGTCAGCACTGTTGAGCTGGCATTGATGATGGGCACTGACTGGTGGCACTGACTGGCGGCACTGCTGGGTGGCACTGCTGGGCACCGATCATCCAGGCACTGATCATCAGTGCCCTGATGATCGGTGCCGATCCCTCCTCTGACAACTGCCGGTTCTCGGCAGTACTTTCCTTGCGCTGTGACAGCGTGAGGAAAGTGCAGCCGATAACCGGCAATTGCATTTCCCGTTGATCAGTGTGTCATTGAACATGGCTGATCACGTGGTAAAAGGCCGCTTGATTGGCCTTTTACCATATCACGCGATCAGCTGTGTCCTACGGACACAGCGATCACGGAGATCGCCGGGTGCACTCCCCCGGGGGCGTGCAGAAGAGCGCATTCTGGGAGGACATCATATGACATCCACCCAGAACTGGCCGGCCTCAGTGCAGCCGTCATTTTGCTATCTGCGGTTGGCAAGAGGTTAAAGTCCATTTTTTTTTCCTCATTTTTCACTCCATACCCCATAATGACAAGGTGAACACAGAATTTTAGAAGTGTTTGAAAATTTATGGAAAAAGAAAAACTGATTCCCATAAGTATTCAGACCCTTTGCAACAACTCTTGAAATTTAGCTCAGGTGCCTCTTGATCATTGTTAAGATGTTTCTACAAGTTGATTGGAGTCCACCTGTGGTAAATTAAATTGATTGCACATGATTTGGAAAGGCACACACATCTGTAAAAAAGGCCTCACAGATGACAATGCATACTGTTATCAGAACAAAAGCCATGAGGTCAAAGGAACTGCCTGCAGAGCACAGAGATAGGATTATTGCAAGGCAATAATTTTTGCTTTTGCAAGGCTGATCTGGGGAAGGCTACAAAAAATTTCTGCTGCACTGAAGGTTCCCAAGAGCACAGTGGCCTCCATAGTTTTCAAGTGGAAGACGTTTGGTACAACCAGGACTCTTCCAAGAGCTGGTCGACCAGCCAAACTGAGCAATCGGGGGAGAAGGACATTAGTAAGAGAGGTGACTAAGAACCTTTTGGTCACTCTGACTGAGCTCCAGAGATCCAGTTTGGAGATGGGACAAAGTTCCACAAGGACAACCATCACTTCAGCCCTCCAGCAATCTGGCCTTTATGGAAGAGTGGCTAGACTGAAGCCTCACCTCAATGCAAAACACATGAAAGCCTGTTTGGCGTTTGCAATAAAGCGTGTGTTGTTCCATTCTTGCCTGATAAAGGATTCTAACTGCTCAACAGTCCTTGGTCATCTTTGTAGTATTTTTTGTTTCAAGATTTCAAATATTTTCCTTTGGTGAAAGTTCTGGACTGCAGGCAGGCCAACTAAGCACCTGGACTCTTCCACCATAAAGCCATGTTGCTGTCATGCTGATTGCTGATACAGTATGCGGTTTAGCATTGTTCTGCTGAAATATGCAAAGCCTTCCCTAAAAAAGATGTCACCTAATGAGAGCATATGCTGCTCTAAAAAAATGGATATATACAGTATTCCAGCATTGATGGTGTCTTTCCAGATGTGCAAGCTGCCCATTTAATAGGTACTAATGCATCTCCATACCATCAGAGATACAGGGTTTTGATTTGAGGGCTAATAGCAAACTTAAAAGGTCCCTCTCCTCCTTAATCCAGAGGATGCAGTGCCCATGGTTGCAAAAAAAGAATGTCAAGTTTTGATTTGTCTGACCAAGGAACAGTTTTGCACTTTGCAACAGACCATTTTAAATGAGCTTTGGCCCAGAGAAGATGGCGTTTCTGGATTATGTTAAGATAACATAGCTTCTTTACATGATAGAGCTTTAACAATTATTTTTGGAAATATTCCTGAGCCCATGCTAGAGGAATCCAATATTGTATTTTGCCTTGTCCCTGATGCACAGAGACTTCTTCAAATTCTCTGAATCTTTTGATATTATGTACTGTAGATGATGATATATATAAAGTATTTGCAATTTTACGTTGAGGAACCTTTTCTGAAATTGTTCAACAATTTATAGATGCAGTTTCTCACAGATTGGTGAACCTCTGCACATCTTTACTTTTGAGACACTCTGACTCTTTAAGATGCTCTTTTTATCCAATCATGTTACTGACTTGTTACCAATAAACTAATTAGCTGCAAAATGTTCTTCCAAGCCTTCTTTGTTAGTACCACTTACGTTGCCAGCTTTTTGTTGCCCTGTCCCAAATTTTTTGAGACGTATTGCTGCCATCAATTTCAAAATTACCTTATGGTTTTTCTTAAACTGGTACATTTTTTCAGTTTAAACATTCGATATGTTTTCTATGTTTTATTGCAAATAAAATATGGGTTTATGAGATTTGCAAGTCATTGCATTCTGCATTTATAAAGAGCTTACATAGCATCCCAACATTTTTGGAATCGGGGTTGTATATATAGACTTTGATATGACTCATCAGTGTACAATGTATAGACAACTGAAACCAGGAGATTCTAGAATCAGTAGCATAGCTTATCAGTTGTTGTCTGGAGTGTTAATTTCTTTCCCTGTTTTGAATGCAAAGATAAGCCTGATGCTGACTTATGATAGGATATGAACTAAAAACTCCAAAGACATGCTGGTAGGTTAATTGGCTCCTGTCTAAATTGTCCCTAGTATGTGTATGTATGAATGTGAGTTAGGGACCTTAGATTGTACACCCCTTGAGGGTTAGGGACTGATGTGAATGTACAATATATGTATGTAAAGCGCTGCGTAAAATTGACGGCACTACATAAGTACCTGAAATAAATAAATAAAAAGTGTGTCTGCCAAACAGTGCATCCAAACACAGTGTACATACAGAAGTAATCATCTATTGTTATTGCTTGCGTACTACCGATTTTTGTATTTTACCAGCCATTCCCCCTTAATGATATAGTAATGATCATGATTTATGATGAATTTCTTTAATAATTTGTAGTCTCTGGGTAGCAGTAGCAGTTAAGAAGATAAGAAATGGCTTGTTTAAGCTCTTAAAACTGAACTCTGACCTTACCTTCAGTCTTGTAGTTGTACAGACTACTTTCCTGTTCTGAAATGACGTAGTCTAATTCACTGCACATTAAAAGCTGCAGCTAATCGGACTACCACTTTATTTCCTGGCTGCAGAATGTCCAATATCATCTATCCCTTTCCTTCCCGTGCCAAGACAGTCAGCCTAGGAACACCCATTCCTCACCCATTGATGCACTTTAGCCTGTTCCCACCCGGCCAATAGCAGAATAATGCTGAGTGGGACTCTTGTCCATACCAGTGGGCGTCATATGACGTTCCCGGATCGCGCCTCACGTGTGTGTGCGGGGCCGTGCTGTGGCGAGATCTGTCCCTGGCTGTTTACCTCAGATTACAGATCTGTGCACTGCCCCTTTGCCAGTACCATGTACAGCAGGTCACATGACAATTGTAAACAATGGATGGCTTCCTTTCATGCCATCCTTTGTATACAATTATGTCACTAGCTGTGATTGGTCACAGTGATCACATGTACAGACTGAGCCAATCACAGTCCATCTGTGTCATGTGATTAGCTGTGACTAATCACAACAAAAAACCTGAATGAATTGATTTCATTCAGTTAAATGCTTGCTTATAGCAAAGAAATTATTTGCTATAAGCAATCATAATGTGTGGAAAAAAAAATAATCATTTCCCCAGAACAGTACTATGTTATTATGGTAATATTATACTACTCTGGTCACAGTGTATAATGAAAAGAAAGATCTTTAAAAAAGAAAGTAAACAAATTTTAAAAAATTGGAAAAAAACACTTTTTTCGGACTGTCAGCAGTCAGTGTCCCTAATCACCGCCACACCAGTTATATGATGACACTGTACAGCACTGGTGGCAGTATTTATTAAAAAAAATTACAGCTTCAAAAAACTTGCCATTCCTCTTACTAAATACCTCATACTGACTACTTTGCAAAAAGGGGTCCTTTGGGGGATATCTGTACTGTTCTGACATTTTTGGTCCTCAAAAATTAGATTGGCTGTCAGTACTTCAGGACTGATGGATTTTCAGATCTATACCATAGTTTGTGAACTCTATAACTTTCCTACAAACTAAATAATAAATACTGATTTGGGTTATTTTTCACCAATTAATGTAGCAGAATATATCTTGGTCTAAATTTATTTAGACCAAGAATAATTATTTATTTGCAAAATTGTATAACAGAAACAAAAATGTAGGGTTTTTTTTAAACTTTACGTTAATTTAGCAGAGAATAAAAACCTCAGTGGTGATAAAATAACACCAAAAGAAAACTCTGGTTGTGTGAACAAAATGATACAAATTCAGGTTGGGTACAACGTTGCATGACCGCGCAATTGTCATTCAAAGTGTGAGAGCGCTGAAACCTGAAAATTGGCATGGGCAGGAAGGGGGTAAAAGTGCCCGGTATTGAAGTGGTTAATATTTGCAGAATTCCCTCAGAAAGCCAACCCACTTCTTGCATC